AGGTAGGTACAAATCTACGGTCATTGAAATTTTTAAAGGTGAAACTGTTTCTTAGCATTTCTCAAAATCTGTCCATAATGACAGGTTCAAATTATTACTAGACATTATTTAGATCACAAAGAACATTAAAAAAAAAATTAACCACACCCCTGCGCCCCATCGGTCTTTGAAATTTTTAAGGGTGAGGGTGAAATATGTTTTTCAACTTTTCTCAAAAACGGCCCGTACTGACAGGTTCAAATTGTTACTAGACATTATTTAGATCACAAAAAACAATAAAAAAGATATACCATACCCCTGCGCCCCTTCGGTCTTTGAAATTTTTAAGGGCGAGGGTGAAATATGTTTTTCAACTTTTCTCAAAAACGGCCCGTACTGACAGGATCAAATTGTTACTAGACATTATTTAGATCACATAGAACAATAAAAAAAATATACCATACCCCTGCGCCCCTTCGGTCTTTGAAATTTTTAAGGGTGAGGGTGAAATATGTTTTTCAACTTTTCTCAAAAACGGCCCGTACTGACAGGTTCAAATTGTTACTAGACATTATTTAGATCACAAAGAACAATAAAAAAAAAATACCATACGCCTGCGCCCCTTCGGTCTTTGAAATTTTTAAGGGTGAGGGTGAAATATGTTTTTCAACTTTTCTCAAAAACGGCCCGTACTGACAGGTTCAAATTGTTACTAGACATTATTTAGATCACAAAGAACAATAAAAAAACTATACCATACCCCTGCGCCCCTTCAGTCTTTGAAATTTTCAAGGGTGCAATACGGTGAAATATGTTTTTCAACTTTTCTCAAAAACGGCCCGTACTGACAGGTTCAAATTGTTACTAGACATTATTTAGATCACAAAGAACAATAAAAAAAATATACCATACCCCTGCGCCCCTTCGGTCTTTGAAATTTTTAAGGGTGAGGGTGAAATATGTTTTTCAACTTTTCTCAAAAACGGCCCGTACTGACAGGTTCAAATTGTTACTAGACATTATTTAGATCACAAAGAACAATAAAAAAAATATACCATACCCCTGCGCCCCTTCGGTCTTTGAAATTTTCAAGGGTGCAATACGGTGAAATATGTTTTTCAACTTTTCTCAAAAACGGCCCGTACTGACAGGTTCAAATTGTTACTAGACATTATTTAGATCACATAGAACAATAAAAAAAAATACCATACCCCATAAGCTCTTTGTGACTTGAATATCTGATAATAATTTGAACCGGTCAGTACGGACGGTTTTTGAGAGATGCTAAATCATATTTCACCGTATTAAACCCCTAAAAATTTCAAAGACCGTAGGGGCGCAGGGGTATGGTAAATTTTTTTATTGTTCTTTGTGATCTAAATAATGTCTAGTAATAATTTGAACCTGTCAGTACGGGCCGTTTTCGAGAAAAGTTAAAAAACATATTTCACTCTCACCATTAAAAATTTTAAAGACCGAAGGGGCGCAGGGGTATGGTATATTTTTTTTATTGTTCTATGTGATCTAAATAATGTCTAATAACAATTTGAACCTGTCAGTACGGGCCGTTTTTGAGAAAAGTTGAAAAACATATTTCACCCTCACCCTAAAAAATTTCAAAGACCGAAGGGGCGCAGGGGTATGGTATATTTTTTTTATTGTTCCATGTGATCTAAATAATGTCTAGTAATAATTTGAACCTGTCAGTACGGGCCGTTTTTGAGAAAAGTTGAAAAACAGATTTTACCCTTAAAATTTCAAAGACCGAAGGGGCGCAGGGGTGTGGTATATTTTTTTAAAATGTTCTTTGTGATCTAAATAATGTCTAGTAATAATTTTAACTTGTCAGTACGGACAGTTTTTGAGAAATGCTAAGAAACAGTTTCACCTTCTAAAATTTCAATGACCGTAGATTTGTACCTACTAATAATAAGAAAATATTGAGAATTTTTATGTGATATCCTCAGGGAACACCTAATAAGCCGATGTTACAAGAAATAAAGGTAAAATATACATATAAAAAAAACCGACGCCACTGAACCATCGGATGTTTTCGGAAAATTGTCTGATAACTTTTGTCTGATAATTTCACATCAGTGGTTATTGTCTCAAAACGCAGGGCCAGATGATAAGGCGCTCGCTGACAATCCGAATCGTGATCAGGTTATGGAGGTAAGTCATTTTCTTTTCTAAATTTTTAAAAACCAATTTGCCAATATAATATTACGGTCTCAGGACCCAGGAGGGAAGAGGGAACAGGGAGGGTTTACCAATGTGATAGCAATAGCGACAGCTATTATGCAATTTTTATGATAAAATGAACTTTATGATGTATCTTATAAAACATTATATCCTATTGGAAAAGGGGATAATACACTGCTCGTCAAAAAAAACGGGACAAGCAATTTCTAGCACCATATTCAATTTGTAATAACCTTTTTAAATTTTTTTTTTTGAATGAGGTTTTTGGTATACAAAAACCCATGTTATATATCACGTGGGAAAAAATAATTTTTTCGAAGGAATGCATTTTTCGAGTTATATACAGGGTGAATAATAGACTGATGCAAAAGTACAAAAAGTTTGGATGATTCACAGATTTTCCTATAGGTAATTAGTAAGTTGATGCCTATCAATATCTCGAGAAGTTTTGACCAGTTTTTCGATAAGGATACACTACTAAACAGCAAAGTTTGCAAAATGTGGAAGCACAATGTTCAAAGGGCTGTACCTTGAAAAAGGTTATATCGATTTCCAACAGCTTTGCAGGTTTCGAGAGGCTATTCTTTTACAGGTTTCATGACTTGTCAGTTTATTGTTGGCATTTGGCATCTCAGTATTGAAAGATGTATGAAATTCTCAATAGTAAATTGAGAATTTCATACAACTGTCAAAACTGACATTTAAGGGATTCAGTCAGATTCAGTCTTTAGGCAATTGAAGAAAACTCTTTTCTGCAAGCTTGGCCGAGCTTTCGAAAACGATTATTTCTTTTTCTAAGGCTATTGAAAGAAATTATATACAATATTTTTAAAAAAAAGTTAAGTTTGCAGTAACATTTTTTGTTAAAACAAAAGAATAAATTTCTTTTAAGCTTTTGGCAGTTGTGAAAATTATGGCTTTTTGAAAATAGGTTTACCTATTTTTGAATTTTGAAATGTAGGAATATATGCAACTTGAGTCCTGTATTTCTTTATTTTTGTTCAAATTATCAGGATATATCAAGAATCTACTCATACCTACTGTATAAACACCAACTGAACGTACTTTAATAAATGTTTCTTATCAAAAAAGTTCATGCTTTCTTTTTTTAAGCAACCAATCAACATCTACCCCTCAACCCCCCCACCCCATCCTGGACCTGAATTCCTCCTGATATCAAACTATGCTTTTCATGACGTGTGGTTTTATAGATCCTTATCGATAATTTAAATATTAGAAGTAACGCAAAGTGACAAGGAGCAAAAATAAAAACTCGTTTCGGTGTTTTGTAGACGACTTTTTCGCCACTAAACACCTCGCGCTCTGCAAATACCCATTGCGCGGCGCTCGTACCGGAAACTTTAAACGAGGCAACCACATCTTTTCGGCAGGATTTGAGCAGGCAGCCTAAGTTTAATGGAAAGAGGAGATCGAGACCTTCAATTTGAGACCTAATTTATGCGTCCACCTGATGACGATAGTTATTGATAAAAAACCGACTTTCTTAACCAGGCTGCCAGGGTGTTGCGGCAGGGTGGGGGCAGGCAGCCTTATATGGTTGAATTCGTCTCACGCTTCCCTACAAAATGGTGATTTGATTTCATGTCCACCTCTAAAAGATAGTTACTGTAATTATTCATCTAATAAAAAAATTTGAAAAAAACTGTTTCGGCAGGATTTTTGCAGGCAACCTTCGCGTATTCTCTTAATTAGTGCCTCAACTAATATTAATATTTTTTTCGCTCATCCACCTTATAAAGAGAGATTCTCTCGTACTATTACATACATTCTGTGTACATACATACTTCACCTTTGAAAAGAAAAAAAATAGTTATTTTCCTAACAAGTGCGCAAAGTAATACTTTCCCGCACGAAAAAGCAGTTAGACGAACGACGCGAAGCGGAGTTCGGATAAGCTTTGAGTGCGGGAAAGACACTTTGCGCAAGTGTTAGGAACAATATTTTTTCTTCGAGTATCTTAAAAAAGTAGACTTTGATTAAGTGTTAAAATATTAGAAAAATCAATCAAATCAAAATCTTCAAAAATCCTTTAAAATCTATTGGAATTCCTCAGAATGTCTTTTAAATTAAATCCCCAAATATCTTTTTACATCTTCTGGAATTTCTAGAATCAGCAAGAATATTTTCATGAGAGTCTCTAAAATATCAAAAATTTTACAAATTCCTAGCAGTACAGGCTGGTCCAATTTGGACACCTTTGATAGGAAATATCATGTTAACTAAGCATTAATTTCAACTAAAACCCTTCATTTTGAATATTAGTTTATTCAGAAACCATCAAAACATTGAAAAATCAAGTATAACTATGGTAATTATACGTAACAAAAATGAGTGCGCAAAGAGTTTCCGTGCGCAAAGTTCAACTTTGCGCACGCAAATGAGTGTGCAAAGTGATTACTTTGCGCACGCAAGTAGAAAAAATCAATTTCCAGATTGACATCTGTAGTGTATTTGTATGAACATATCCATGATAGATTGGACTTTAGATGTTTGAAAAGGTGGTGGAATCTTTTGTCAAGCAGATGACAAATAATAATTGTCAGTTTTGATTTGAGCAATCTGTGATTTGAGCTATGAATAGAAACTTCAAAGCATTTCGTATTGTATTATTTGTACCCAGTTCGGTTTCAGATACGATAGTTTTCGGACCTGTGCTCTTACCGACCTTGGTTTTTAGTGCGTTTGCAGCATTCCTTAAATATTTGGTATTTATTGAAGGATATTTTCTGTGAGTTGTATCTTTTCCTATTACTATATTTTATTTGATAATTTAATTGCTCTCCGTTCATGTCTTAATCATGGCGGGGGGCAATAATCATAAAGAGGGTAAACCACCCCCTGATAAAAATAATATTAAAGTAGTCGATCTCACATACAATGATATGATGATAAATGAAGATGAGTCCATAGAAAATAATATTAATTCTCAAACTCAACATGATAAACAGATTTCAGATAGATTAAATAGAATTGATTTGAAAAATAGATATAAAACAAATAGTAACGGTCCATTTTCAGTTTTTGTGGAGCATAAATATTTAAATTTTGGTAGATTGCATCCTCTCAAAATTGGTGAAAAATTATTCAATCTGAATGGCGATGAAAATGATATTGATTTCTTGCACACAGTTGGTCGAAATAGGGTCCAGGTTATGTGTAAATCCGCTATAGGTGCCAACAAAATAGTTGAAAATCAGGTATTTGAAAGTAACAATCTTATTGCATATATTCCCTCTCATCTTACTCAAAAAAAAGGCCTTATCCGTAATGTTGATACATCTTTCTCAGAGGAAGAAATTTTGAAAATTTTGAAGTCGTCAGTTCCAATTAAGGCAGTGCAGAGGAGATTTAAATTTGTTCTCGATAAGGATGGCAATAAAGTAAAAGTTCCTAGACAGCAGATTATTGTAACTTTCGATAATTTAGTCCTGCCACAATTTGTTTATATGTACCGATTGAGATACGAAGTTGATACTTGGTACTCCCCGGTCACTCAATGTTATAATTGTTTAAATTTTGGTCACACTGCTTCCCAGTGTAAAAGCAAAAAACGATGCAAAACCTGTTCTAAAATATTAAATGACGAGGGACTGTGTACTGATTGTGAGACTTTTTGTGTTCATTGTAAAGATAATTCTCATATTTCTACTAGTAAAAAATGTCCTAAATATAACAATCAGGTTAAAATTAAGCAGGCGATGGCAAATCTTAATGTATCCTTTAAAGAAGCCGAAAAAATTGTAGATAACCCATCTTATGCAAGCCTCGTTTCGAAAAATAAATTTGCTCCATTGTCTTCAAAAACCGATTTTCCTGAATTACCACCGAACTATAGAAATCAATCTAATCCCCCAAATTCAAAAACGACATTTGTAGCTCATCTACATTCCAGCAAGTCTACTCCCTCTTCCAGTGTATATGAAAATTATAAAAAACGGAAAGTCAGTGATAGAAGTCCTTCTTTTGAACCCGTTAGCAGAGAATTTGATTGGTCCTATACAGGTGCACCTTGGATTGAGTCTCATCAGATAAACACTAAAAATACTTTTGAAGGTCTAAAGGATAAAATAATTGAAGATTTAACTTGTCAAATAAATAATTCAATCAGGGGTGTGAAATCTCCTGATGTATCAAATATAATAGAAAATATAGGCTATATAATCAATAATACCCTCAAAAATATCTTTCAACAATGGCAGCCTTCACAGAACAACTAACTGTAATTCACTGGAATGCTAGATCTGCGTATTCAAACCATAATTTGTTAAAAAACTTATTACAAGATACTAATTTTGATATTGCCCTTTTAAGTGAAACTTGGTATAAACCAGAGTACAAAATTAGTCTTAAAGGTTTTAATATTATAAGAAAAGATAGAATTAATGGTAAAGGCGGTGTGGCTATACTAATTAAAAAATCAATTTCCTTTTCTAATATCAAATTCCCAAAGTTCGATAATATCAATATTGAACTATGTGGTATAGACATATCTATCCATAATACGTTAATATCTGTTGTGTCTATTTATAGACCACCAAATGTGGCAATAAGTGTTTCGGACTACTGTAAAATTTTTTCTTCTGTAAAGTCCTTTTCTATAATTGGGGGTGATTTCAACGCCCACAATACTTTATGGGGTTGTAATATTAATGATGCACCGGGGAACACAATAATAAATGCATTAGACAATTTTCCCAATTTACTAATAAGGAATGAAGGGGAGCATACCAGAATAGGAGCCACAAGTAGTTCCGCTTTAGACATAACTATTATTTCCTCAAACATCAGTAATATCTCGTCTTGGGAAGTTTTACAAGATTCCTATGGCTCAGATCATTTTCCTGTTAAATTGACATTGAATAATAAAAGTAATCTTGCGCCGTCACATAATTTAGTTGGGTGGAAACTCAAAAATGCCAACTGGGTTTCCTTTGGTCAATGCATAGAGGACAAAATTAGTAACCTTAGGGAAGTACCGGACAAGGCAAATGAAATTATTTCAATATTAATCAATGTTATTGGTGAAACTGCCGACCAACTTTTTCCTAAAAGAGTTTTTCAAAATAAAAAACCCTTTGTACCATGGTGGGACGAGGAATGCCAAATTTTATCCAACAGTCGGAAAGAAATGTTTAAAAAATTTCGTAATAATTCCAATCTCCAAAACTACATTCAGTGTAATAATTTAACAGCTAAGTGTAAGCTTACCTATAAAAGAAAATCCAAACAAAGTTGGGCTAATTTTTGTAGTAGTTTGAACGCCCAGAGCCCTCCTTCCAAAATTTGGAATAGAGTTAGTTTGATAAAGGGTGGTTTAAATACACATATAAACAACACAATTTCCCAGGAATCAGTCAATATTTTGTTGAATAAAATAGCACCTGATTTTGTGTCACGCGATATTGCACCAATGAATGCGTCAAGCGATCATTTTTTATCACGACCTATTTCTATATCAGAATTCATCAATAATGTCAGAAAACATAAAGACACTAGCCCAGGTACGGACGGAATCACTTATAGTATGTTAGAGCATTTACCCCTCCCTGCTATGCAGTTGTTAATAGACGCATTCAATAAAATTATGTGTAGAGGTGATGATATTTCGAAAATCAAAAATGCACTGGTGGTACCAATATGCAAACCAGGTAAAACTGACGAGTTTAGGCCAATTTCGCTCACATCATGTATGTTAAAAACTCTGGAAAGAATAATCAAATATCGTTTAGAGTGGTGGTGCGAATCTAAAAAATTACTTCCTTCCCATCAGTTCGGATTTAGGCGAGGTAGCGGCGTAAATGATTGTCTGGCACATTTAGTTACTGATGTACAGAACACATTTTCTGATAATGATTATTTGGCGGCTATATTTTTGGATATATCCAGTGCATATGAAAATGTCAATCTTGAAATCCTTATAGATAAACTAGTACAATTTGATGTGCCTAGAGCAAATGCTAATAATATAGTGAGATTATATATCAATCGAGGCGTATCCATTAGAATAGGTAATGATACTAGCGAAACCAGAATTGTCTCATCTGGCATCCCCCAAGGTTCAGTATTAAGCCCATTACTTTTTAATATGTACACAACGGATTTTCATTCAATGGGGTTAAATGCTTCTCAGTTACAATACGCTGATGATTTTTGTATCTATACCAAGCAAAAAAGCATGCATGCATGCTTAACCAACCTAAAACATATTATGTATGTTTGCAATCAATATTTTCTCAGCAATGGCTTCAATATTTCAAATAAAAAATCAGCCATGATGGTTTTTACTAGGCATCGTTTACAGAAAACATCAACAATTACACTTAACAACTGTGTTATCCCATGGGTTGAAACATTTAAGTATTTGGGAGTTTTGTTGGATCAAAAATTGGCTTGGAAAGAACATATTAGCTATATAACTGAGAAGGCCGAAAAAAGTCTTAATATTATGAGAGCAGTAATATCTAGGTCATGGGGATCCGATCCCCAAGTTTGCTTAATGTTATATAAAGCGTTTACAAGATCAATTTTGGATATTGGCGCTATGTTTTATGGTTCTGCTTGCAAATCCCGACTTGTTAAAGTCGATAGGCTGCAATACAAAGCTCTAAGACTTGTAACAGGTGCTTTTAGCTCTACCCCAATCCAGGCTCTACTTTCTGAATGTAATGAAGTTCCATTAGAAATAAGACGAAAAATTCTAGCAGAAAAATTTATTCTTAAAAATGTTCAATACGTACATAACTCGTTGCTTGATAAAATTTCTATCTTGAATATTTCTAATCTAACTCAGTCATACTGGAGAAATAAGAAAAGTCCTGTTTTAGCGGATGCATTTGTAAATACATCAGAATTTCATAATATTATAACAAAACAAGACAAATATATACTATTTCATTTTCCATCTGATTTGATATATCTCAAACCTGAAATTCTATTTCCGAATTTTTCGGAGTTGCCCTCAGTAAATTCTATCCATTTAAGGGAAGTCTTAAGCAAGAATGAAAATTATCTTCAAATATATACCGATGGGGCTAAAAATAGTTCAGGAGTAGGATGTGCAATTGCTATACCTGAATTGAATTATGTTAAAAAATACAAATGTGAAAATAATGCATCTATCTTCACTGCCGAAGCACTAGCAATATTGAAAGCATTAGATCATATATTGTCAAAGGGAAATATTTTCAAAGCTATTGTTCTCTCTGATTCTCAGTCAGTTTTGAAGTCTCTCAAAAATGCGATGAATTGTAAGAATCTTATTATAGCCAAAGTATTGGAGGTATTCTCTGTTTTGTGCTCTAAAAATATTTCTGTCAAGTTTGTATGGGTTAAGGGACATACAGGTCTCAAAGGCAACGAATTGGTTGACAATGCAGCAAGAGAGGCGATCGTATCAGAAGAGATCCTGGAAATTACTCCATATTCGGACTTTTTCGAAATAATCAAAAAAAGATCTTGGGAAGTTTGGCGCAGTAATTATATTGCAATGGCAGTTAACTCCCCTAATTTGTATAACTCCTTTTATCCTAGATTGAATAAAAAGCCACTAATGGAACGTTTTAAATTCTCCAGAAATGTGTTTGTTTCCTATTTCAGATTTTTAGTTGGGCATGGAAATTTTAATAAACACATGTATAAGCTTAAGTTATGCGAGAACACGCGATGCTTTTGTGATAACCAATCTGAAGATGATTTGAATCATAGATTATTTAGTTGTAGACACAATGAATTGGCAACTTCATTCTTAAGAAGAGAATTGGAAAAACTCCATCTCATACCTATGAACCACAAGGGTTTAATTAAGCTTATTTTATCAGATGATAACTTGGAAAATATATTTATTAATTACTTAAAATTATGTAAAGTCCTTATTTGAAAGATAATTAGAGATTGTTTCGATTCCTATGTTTTTTTTCCTTATATGTTACATCCTTCCTAACCGGGTCCACCTGTGTTTTGTTAAAGTTTAAAAATGTCCTGCATAGACCCCAGGACGAGAAGCGTGTGTCCATGTGTTTATCCTTTTTGCTAGATTCCTTCCTTTTTTTTTTATCTGTATATCGTTGGGTGAATGGTTAGCTAAAGTTTGAACTTTTGAATTATGTTTTCGTGGCTAAGTGAGCTATGCTCAAAGCCAAAAAAAAAAAAAAAAAAAAAAAAAAAAAAAAATTATTTGTACCAGAACCTTTATTAGAAACATAAAACTGGCGACGAGGATGGTGCTTAACTTAATGATACGTAATCAGTTTAATTCTAAATTGAAAGTATATAAATTTGCATCGAAATCAAGGAAATCTCAAAACTCTGCGAAAGATTTCTAAAAAAAAATGACAGAAATTGGCAGTCTAAAGGAATTTGATCCTTCAAAGGAACAGTTTACGTTATTTGAAAAGATTAAAGTTATATTTTACTGTGAACAGTACAGCCGACGATAAAAAGAAGCACATATTTTTACTGATGATGGGACCTAAAGTGTATGAAATATTGATTAATTTAGCAATGCCAAAGGATCCAGAAAATTTGACATTTGATGAAATTGAAAATGCTTTGACTGGTTATTTTCAACCAGCCAAATTAGAAATTGTAGAGTGGTTTCAATTTTCTAAGCGAGAGCAAAGGGAGCTTGAATCAATAAATGAATATGCCATTGAGTTGAAAAAGATGGCCATTAAAATCTGTTTTTTTTTTTAAAAGATAAAAGTCAAAATGACATTATGTTGGCAATACAATGTTGCTTGTGTTGCCAACATAGTTACTAAATTTTTGACTTGGGGAATTATCTTTAAAAAAAAAATAGACTTTACATGTAATTTTGGAGCTTTTCTACAGGAAGCATTAAGGGACAGACTTGTGGCAGGGCTTAGAAATGAAAAAATTCAAAAATTTTTTTTATTGAAAATAGAAGTTTTCCGATGCGCTTAAAGTTGCCATAAGTTTGGAATGGGTCTTTCCCACTCAACTGAATTTAAGTATTTTATTCATATGGTTTGGAAGCTTATCCGATAAAATACTTAAAGGGCTATGTGGTTGATTTTTTAAAAAATTATTGAGGGAGATATTAAAGGAAAAAAAATGGTAATATTTGAAATAGTCCGCCAGATTTTGCACCAATCAGAACACGCTTAGT